AAGTGCTCTACCAGTTGAGCTAAGGATCCACATATCAATTGCATACCCTGATCTTTGGCGAGAGGAAGGGTGGGTAGGGAAGGTTTTTAATGGAGATGCCTGGGGCCGGGCGGTAATCAGTAATTTGTAAGTCGCTCTTTGTAAAGTTGCTTTCTGTGTCTCTGTTCTTGGTTGTGACATGTGAGAACCTGGTTAGGTTTTCTAATGTTTTACATTGTACCAGTTCTGGCCTGCTTGTTTTTTTTTTTTTTTTAAGCAGTTTAGCTTCCTCTCAATGAAATATTCTATTACTGATAAAAAAAACTAATACATAAAACAATCACTTCATATGATAAATATTTATCTCTCATATACCTAGACTGGATGTAAGCCAATCATGCCCAGAAAGAAAATAAGCCAAGAATAATGCAGTGAGAAAATGAGAAGAGAACACATTTGAAAGGTGGAACCTATCAAATTTCAAGTGACAGATTCACTATTGATCATGAAAAATATAATCCAATTATTACTAGAACCACAAATACAAATCATCAACATCATCTAAGTCTTGTCCCAACTATATAAGATCAACTACATGAATCATGTTTTGCAATTCAATTCTGTTTAGTGCCATATCTATTGTTTAGCTATGAGCGCTTATTAAATTATCTATAACTCAATTATGATAGCAAAAGGATTGAGATATATAACCCGATAAATGATACCTGCATAGGATCATTACTTGAAATGAAGCCAGACCTCAGGCTAGATTCTTTGATTTTTTTTTTTCTGTTCTTTGTTTCTCCTTTAGATATTTTATCCACTTTGCAGACATGAGGTGCCAAAACCCATCTCTCATGATTGGTGAATAAGGTGTTGGATTTGAGGCCTGTGCATAATAATTTTGGTAAATGAATGACTGCATCCTTGGAAATGTCAAGAGAGTGTAATTCCTTGTTGAGATACATCAGAGTTCCTGATGCTTATTACAAACAGCAATAAAATTTAAAATAAAGTAGGCATTCGTTTGCTTATTACAATCTACACGTGTAAGATAAAGTTGGCATCAATTCTCTTAGCTGTCATTTCCAAAATCACTGACTCATTTAAAACGAAATTAGTTAAAAATTAATTTGATTATCCACTAGTCTTCTCTAAATGTCCATCTGACTACCCAAGACATATATTGAACAATGGAAGGATAAAGAACCTAATTTGTGAAAAGGGACAATAGATGGAAAAAAAAACACCATTAAACATCTACTGGGCAAACACCAAAGAACAAAAGCAATGCGAGAGAGTGAGAGTTGAATATGTATATGGTTACGTTTCTATATTGTTGATTTCTTCAGAAAAAAAAACAAGCAATCATTCTAACATAGATAATTGTTCATCATGAGATAGTAAACCATTTAACTTAAACACTCTTGCTTAGGAACTTGCTTGCATGAAAGAGAAATAACAAGGAATATCATTTAGTGGCCAAGCTGACTATATAGTCAGGTCTTTTCCTTGAGCATTCTACAGTTTTCTTCAGGGTAATCAAAGGAATTACTTGTTTCCTTTCCCTTGTCAGAAATGTAATCTTAGTATTTCTACATACCCTGCTACAATACAAGAAGGGTAATTCCATTTGATGTACAACCTGAATTTGGACTGCACTGATTTCTCATACAAGCGAAATTGATATGGTCATTAATATTGTTGAGAAACTATGATGTTGGAGTTGCATTAGAGGAATCAACAGCAATCTTCTTGTAGTGATTGTTTATGTGGTAAATCTAGGGGAGAAAGTATAGGAGGTGGAAGCTTTCCTGACAGAACATCTAAGTTTCCCTATGGTAAGCTTTGTTTTTTTTTTTTAAGTTAAGATTTATTATGGAAAATAAGAATTGATAGCTTCCAAGGAGTACATGAGAAATGCAGCTCAAGCAAAAAATAAAATAAAATAAAATAAACACCTTATTTAGACAAAACAAAAGAGACCATGCACGCCTGCAACTAGAGAAACCAAAAGACACCAATCTAGAACCTAGACTAAAATAAAACCAATAGCCCACCACCTCTGGAAGACACCAATCCAGACAAAAGCCACCTGACCCACGAACAACAGCTGAAATCCCATCCTATAGTAAGCATTTCATTGATGTTGGAATCCATAAATTGAGTCCTCAAGACAAGGTAGCCCAAATCACCAAAAGCAGAGAACAATACAAAGAATATGCAAATAGCCGCATAGTGATGAAATAATGACCTCAAGTAGCTTGATTCCAGGGTGGTTAATAGAGCATATAGTTTATTTGAGTTGTTAACCTAAAGTGATCATTATCTGTCATATGCATCAGCACCAAAACCCTTACTATTATTTACTGAAATGAGGAAAAGGTAAGATGGGATGGAATTAGAAACATGCACATTCTTGAGAACCTAGGTTTGTCTAAGAGGTGATAAAAGTAAGGAAATTAGATTAAGATGTTGGTCATGTGCATAGAAAATTACCTACTACATGAATATGAAAAAAAAAAAAAAAACACTTGGTTGCAGTTAAAGGTTTGGAAAGAGGTAGGGAGGAGGCTAAAGAGAAAGTAATAAGAAATGACCTAAAGACTGATAACCTTATGTGTGGGCCGGACCTTGAGTCCTTGGTTTCCCCATTTGTATCTTGAAGTGCTTTTAATGTTTGTTCAAGGTATGTCCACCTTAGCAGGTTTGTTGGTCTGCAATAGACTCTTGATGATTTTCAGAACGTTAGCATGACTGGTACTTCCATAATTAATGTAGGTGTCTTATTCTTTTTAATCATAAAATTGACTTAAAGTTTTGTTATTTTCTAGTGACTGGGAAGATGTTGGCAGAAAATGCAAAAGATTTCCCTGCTTTGGCTGAAGGACAGGTTAGACAATAGATATTTAAAAATGTACAAATTGTTTTTCCTTTCTATCCTTAGTGGCATTTTCTTTAGTAATAATTCTACCTTATTCTCTTTACTTCTTATTTAGCAAATTATAAGACCATTAGAGAACCCCATGAAGGCAACAGGCCATATCCAGATATTATATGAAACTCTAGCACCAGAGGGATCTTGTAAGCCAAATATTTAGTGATACACTACTCATTCAGTTTGCTCTCAGTGAGAAAGTATGATTCAGCCTCAAATTTTGCTTCTCCCTTTTAAGGGGTTACGATTATTTCGAAAATTCTCTTTGCTTCATGCAGCTGACTAGTCTACTAAGTGTTACTTCTGATGGTGAACACCTTATGTGATAGGTTGGGAATTATATTCATAACATGGCTACATTTTTCGGTAGTCTTGTCATTGGATTGGTAAATTGTTGGCAGATTGCACTCCAACTGTTTTTTTTTTTCCCTAGGAGTCATCTCTTCTGTTTAGCAGAAGTCTTTCCGGATGGAGAAAATATTAAAAGTCTGAAACTGGAATGGTTAATAAGCCAAATAGGACTGATTACCCAAGAACCTGCCTAGATAAGTTTGAGCATTAGAGATAACATTGCTTAGTGCCGATCTGCAACCATTGATCAATTTGAGAAGCTGCTAAAATAGCACATGCACATACATTTATCAGCTCCCTTGAAAATGGATATGACACAGGTAGAACTGTAGATTAGCAACACTAATCATAATAAATAACAAATTATCCAAATATTTTCCCCACTAGTTTGATAAAGCAGCAAATGCATCATTAAAGCATATCCTCAACTTTATCCATTGATAGTAAAGAAATTGTCTCAATTCTCCTTTCAATAACACCACATACCCAACAAACATTATCCACTATCATCCTTGAGAACAAAAGAATGGTTGCATTTTTCACCTTCCTCTTCTCCACCACTTTGTTCAAAAGCTGATGTCGGCAGCAGCCTTATTTTTATTTAACAATATAACGTACCCAAATACATAAACTAAATTATGGAACTAAATCTCTTTTTGAAGTTTGGTAAATTAATTATGAAACCTTTAAACTCTAAATATTCAGAAATTTATCATTGAATCCAATATGAAGCACATAGTTTAACAAAAGGACAGCAAAGAACCAAATACAATTCCTCACCTGAATTTTTACAATTTGGTTGGGTATCTTTAAATACTCTTTGCACCCCTTCCAACCATGGCCGATCTTTTGGGCTCGTTTTTCAAGGAGGAAAGGACAACCAGGTTAGTTGGAATCTCATAATTTTCATTACCTTTAGTTAACTGCCTCTGTTTGAATGGTCTGGCACGGAATGTAGCTTGAATGAGAGCCAACAACTGCTTGAGACGATTTCCTAACAGCAGCAAGTGATCATTTAAGGGAAAGTTGTTCCTCCCCGCCTCCATTTAGAGGAACCACACTATTCTCCTTTGCTGTCTCAATAGCCTTTTCTGCTGCAATAGTAGCAGCAACACTGTCCATAACACTTACCCTAAGAGTCAATGAAGAAAGGTGACTAGTCAAATCTGCTTCAGCTAAATATCCAGCAATTCCCTTGTGCCCTCTACTTGATGCCAAATCAGCAGCTGTTCACCCTCCAGGATATTTTGGAGTTGGGTCATCCACTGCACCTAGACCTGGTCACAATCTTACAAGTTTGACAACAGCTTCCTCCCTCATAGCAAATCAGCAAGACACTTGGCAGGGTGAACAAGGAAACTGATTGTTTGATTTTTTTCTTTTCCCTTTTAGGGGAAGGGAGGGTGGTTCTCTCTTTATCATTGCACCTAGTCATCTACTCCTATCGGCATAAAAGATTTTACTCTAATTTTATTGAAGCTCAAGAAAGGCGAAGGTAAGAATTCCTCTTATATACTGAGGATATTATGGTCATTGCATCTAATTTTGTGGAAAAGGTTTATGCATGTGTGGAGGAAAATAAGCTCCAAGTGAAAAGGTTGAAAGTAAATAGATTTACTGAAACAATTTTTAGTATAGAAAGTAAACAGGAATTCGGAACTTATAAATCTTGGTTTTCAACAAGATTTAATCTGCTTGCAATAAGCTTCTGAGAGTTTCAGAATATTTCCCAACGATGTTTGAGAACACATGCAACTTGTTTCTTGCCATATGGGAGTGTTTAATTTTGTTATCCTTTATACATGAATATGTATTTGCAGAGTGATCTACGAATGATTTAGGAGAAATATTATGAAGAGGCACATATTCATTGATGCCGCTTTCCCTTCACGTTTTGAAGATTCAAAATCCGCATTGGGTTAGTGACTTGTGTTTATCTAATCTTATGGAACATTTCATAAGTATCTAAACATTCTTGAAGAAACTGTGTTAAACTAATACCTCTAATTTATTACCAGAAAATTACTACGGCATGGAGATCTATAGGAGCCCCACTTTTGATACTAGCAAACAAGCAGGTGAGATGGTCCATTTTGTGGCGTATGTCACTTTAACCCTGACATTCTTAACAACCAATTCTTTATTTGTTAAATTTGAAGGTATATTTTCCTGTTTTCTGTTTATTTTCTTACTTTCTTAGCTTTTACTTATTGGGCCGATAAAAACTTATTTTTACAGATTGGAGGAACACCTGCAGTCATTCGCTACCTCTTGGAGCAAGGGTTTTTAGATGGGGATTGCATGACTGGTACTTCCATAATTATTGTAGGTGTCTTCTTTTTAATCATAAAATTGACTTAAAATTTTGTTATTTTCTAGTGACTGGGAAGACACTGGTAGAAAATGCAAAAGATTTCCCTGTTTTGGCTGAAGGACAAGTTAGACAGTAGATATTTAAAAATGTACAAATTGTTTTCCCTTTCTGTCCTTAGTGCAGTTTGAAGGTGAATGCTTTTACCTTACTGTCATTTTCTTTAGTAATACTTCTACCTTATTCTCTTTACTTTTATTTGGCAAATTATAAGACCATTAGAGAACCTCGTCAAGGCAACAAGCCATATCCAGATATTATATGGAAATCTAGAACCAGAGGGATCTGTGGCAAAAATTACTGAAAGATAAGGGCTATATTTCTCTGGTATTATGTTTCTTATCATTTATGCATTCATATTTTCTTTTAAAGTTGGAAGATCCCTTTACATAGCATATATTATCAATGAATTTCCCATTAAATGCATAGAATAAGTAATGACTGCAAGCATGCTGCAGGTCCTGCTCTTGTTTTCTAAAGGAGAAGAGCCTGTGGTAGCAACCATCTCTGACAATCCTATGAGTTTTAAGGTATTAACATATTGGTGGGATTACTTTGTATGAGTCTATGGTAGAATCCATCATCCTTTTACCTAGGAATTACATTTCTGTTATCCAATGCCTAAGGCCAACACTGTTAATCTAGTTCTGTTATCTCAACTGAAAAGCCTTTTTAAGTTTTTCCTTCTCTTTGATGAATCTGATTCCTTTCTTTATTTTGCTTTTTCTTGATTAAATCTGTTGGTGTAGAAGCGTTGGATCACATATCCTAAATCAACCTGTGAAGAAAAATGGAGAATACACAAAATGGCAAAGTAAACAAAAATTCAAGCAAATAGAGATGAAGACACAAGAATTTACGTGGTTCGAAGAAAATCCTCCTATGTCCATGGGAAGAGCACACACTCCAGAGAGAGATTTTTCATTAAAATTGTAGAAGAAGAAGAAGAAGTAGATGTAAATACAAGATAGCCGCTCCTTTTATATCTGACTTTGTGGTTACCATGCACTAATAGCCACTTTCTGTAACTACTTTATGGTTACCATGCACTAATAGCACTAATAGCCACTTTCTGTAACTGATTTTATTCTGAGTCAATTCCAACATTCTCCACTTTGACTAAAAAATAATTCTTCAACTCTCTTCTTCACCATGCTCCATTTCTCTATCTAGATTACCCCCTTTTCCCAAGGGCCTTCACAACTTAGCACTGCTGTATGTTTGAAAGATTCAGGCAATGCCTGAACCTCTCCCTTGGAAATGGCTTGGTCATCATGTCTGCTATGTTCATTTGGGAAGAAATCTTCTCCAACTGAATGTCACCATCTGCTACAAAATCTCTGAGCTTGTGATACCGCACATCTATGTGCTTAATCCTTGCACGGTATAGTAGATCCTTTGCAAGACATATAGCACTTTGATTGTCTCAATAAACACAAATGTTCTTCTGATCAATTCCAAGCTCTTGAACCAATCCTCTCAACCGTACAACTTCCTTGGCTGCCTCTACTACTGTCATGTACTCTGCTTCTATAGTAGACAGAGCCACCGTATCTTTTAATGTAGATCTCCAACTAATAGGACCTTGACCAAGAGTGAAAATATATCCCGTAGTAGACTTTCTTCTGTCAAGGTCACCTGCAAAATCTGAATCTACATACTTAACCACTTTGTTTCCTTTCAAACCATTCTGAAATAATAAACCTGTATCTTCAGTACCGTTCAAGTAGCGTATAATCCACATTACAGCATTCCAATGCTCCTTCCCCGGATTAGCCATAAATCTGCTCACAACACTAACTGCTTGAGATAAGTCCGGTCTGGTGCATACCATAGCATACATAAGACATCCAACTACACTTGCATATGGTATATGTATCATCTCCTCACGTACTTCCTCTATCTTTGGACAATGTTGAAAAGATAGTTTGAAGTGCTGAACTAGTGGTGTGCTCACTGCCTTAGCCTCATTCATATTGCATTTGGTCAATGCCTTCTCAATATACCCTTTTTGGGTCAACCACAACTTCCCATTGCGCTTGTCTCTTTGAATTTCCATACCCAAGATTTTCTTTGCTCCACCTAAATCTTTCATCTCAAATTTCATGCTCAATTCTTGCTTTAACTTAGCAATCTCATGCAAACTCTTACAAGCAATAAGCATGTCATCGACATAAAGCATCAATAGTATAATAGAGTCATCATGAAGGAAACGAAAATAAACACAATTGTCGTGCTTACTTCTGATGTAGCAATGTGAAGTCATAAAAGTGTCAAAGTGCTTGTACCATTGCCTTGGTGCTTGCTTAAGGCCATAGACCTATTCAACTTGCATACCAGTTGTTCTTTGCCATTCTCGACAAACCCATCGAGTTGCACCATGTAAATTTCCTCTTCTAAGTTTCCCGTGGAGGAAAGTTGTCTTCACATCAAGCTGCTCCAACTCTTATCCCACATAGCTACCATTGCCAACATGATTCTAATGGAACAGTGCTTCACTATAGGAGAAAAAATCTCGTCCACTCTTTCCTTTTGTGCATATCCTTTTGCCACTAACCTTGCTTTGTACCTAACCGGTTCGCTTGCAGATGAAGCCTCTTTCTTTCTATACACCCACTTGCACCCAACAACCTTCTTACCCTTAGGCAATTCTACTAACTCCCAAGTTTCATTCTTCCAAGGAGAAGTCATCTCCTCTTTCATAGCACCCATCCATAGTGAGTTATCCTTATCTTTCATTGCCTCTTTGTAGGTCATTGGATCATCACAATTAGCTGTTAATGCATATGCAACTGTATTATCAAATATTGGTCTTTTGATGTTCCTTTTAGCCCTACTTGCAACAATGGAATATGGTGGTTCCTCTTGGGATTGTGCAACTTCTTGGCTTTGATGAGAAGAATCTGTAGAGATTGGTTCACTACCCATTTTCTCTTCCTCACTTAGCTCCACCTGAATTAAGGTACTGCTCTTCTCACCATCTCGGATTTGCTGCTGATTTTTCTTCAACATAGAAGCTTCATCAAATACAACATCTCTGCTTATCTCAACCTTCTTGGTGTTAGGATTCCAAAGTCTGAATCCTTTCACCCCTTCATTGTATCCCAGAAAAATGCAAGGTTTTGACTTAGCATCAAGCTTTGTCCTCTCTATCCTGCAATAGGACATAACATGGGCATCAAAAAATTCTCAACTTTGAGTAATCAATAGAATTACCAGTCCATACCTCTTCTGCTGTCTTGAGTCCCAATGCTTTGGAAGGTGATCTGTTTGCCACATAACAGGCCATATTAACTACCTCGGCCCAAAACTGCTTTGATAAATCTGCAAAGATTCTCATGCACCTTGTCTTCTTTAGTAGTGTCCTGTTCATTCTTTTTGCTACCCCGTTCTGCTGTGGTGTGCCTGGAGTAGTAAGGTGTCGAGTAATCCCTTTTGTTGCATAAAATTTCTAAAAATCTGTAAAGGTAAACTCTCCACCATTATCTGTCCGTAGGTATTTTATCTGTTTTTCAGTTTGTTTCTCCACTTTTGCCTTCCAAATCTTGAACTTCTCAAAAGCTTGGGATTTATGCTTCATGAAATACACCCAAACCTTTCTGGAATAATCCTCAACAAAGCTAACAAAATATCGTGCTCCACCACTAGAAGCACTGACGATGAACCCCATGTATCTGCACACACATACTCATGAATCTCTTTGCTTCTTTTAGTAGATGTTGTAAAATTGACCTTGCATTGCTTTCCAAAAATACAATATTTGCAGAAATTTAATTTGCAAGATTTAACACCATCAAGTAATTTCCTTTTGTGTAGTTCTATCATGCCTCTCTCACTAATGTGTGCCAATCTCAAGTGCCATAAATGACTAGAATCATCATCTAAAGTGGATGCGACAACTGCATCCCCAATGATAGTTTTTCCAATTAACCTATAAAATGATCCTTTTTTCTCTCCTTTTATGACAACCATGGCACCCCTTTTAACTTTTATGACTCCATCAGCCCCACTATATGTACACCCAAGATCATCTAAAGCACCAAGTGAGACTAAACTTTTCTTAAGATTTGGGACATGTCTAACAATCCCATCAAACATCTTGATTTTAATTGTCCCAATCCCAACAATTCTACACAGCATTATTTCCCATAAGAACTATGCCGGCAACATGCGACTCATATGTAGAAAACCAATCTCTATAAGGAAACATATGATAAGAACATCCAGAATCAAGTATCCAAGTATCCAAGGAATCCATACCTGAGGAGACCGTAAGAAGATCTCCATCATTCTCTGTATCGAAAACAATGCTTACCTCGTCTATAGCTTTGCCTTTCTTCTTTTGAGCCTCTGCAAATTTCTTGCAATCCTTTAGCCAGTGACCATCTTCCTTGCACCACTTGCATTGTGTTTTCTTCAATTTGGATTTTGATTTGCCTCTATTCTTCTTATCTCCCCTCTCTTTAGATATGCCCCGTTCATAACACGAATCATTTGTAGTCAAACTTTCACTATCACTAAAGGTAGGCTTTCGCCGCATCTCGTTTGACAACAAAGTACTTGTGACCTCATCCATCACCAATGTATCCTTCCCATACAAGATGGTTGTCACCAAATGATCATACGATTCTTGGAGAGATGAGAGGAGAAGAATCGCCTTATCCTCTTCATCAATCTTCACATCTACATTGAGAAGTTGTGCAATCAATCGATTGAATGTATTCAAATGATCCAATAAATTGGTTCCGTCGGCCATACGCAAACTGTATAATTGCCTCTTCAGGTACAACTTATTGTCCACAAGCCAATGGTGGTTTCCTCATCGAGTACGTTGTACATCACTTCATCTGCCAAGTATAACTGAATCATGCTCAATGCCTTCAGATCTAACTCAGCCCACTCATCACTTGTCATCTTCTCTGCCTTCTCCTTTCCAAGGAGAGCTTTGTGAAGACCTTGTTGTACCAGAGCTGTCTTCACCCTCTTTTTCCACAACCCAAAATTCATCTTGTCGTCAAATTTCTCCACCTCGAACTTTATAGTCAACATCTTCGCCATCGTAAGTACTTCACAAATTTAATAACCTGGCTCTGATACCATTTGTTGGTGCAGAAGCGTTGGATCACGTATCTTAAATCAACCTGTGAAGAAAAATGGATAATACACAAAATGGCAAAGTAAACAAAAATTCAAGCAAATAGAGATGAAGACAAAAGAACTTACATGGTTCGGAGAAAATCCTCCTACGTCCACAGGAAGAGCACATACTCCAGAGAGAGATTTTTCATTAAAATTGTAGAAGAAGAAGAAGTAGATGTAAATACAAGATAGCCACTCCTTTTATATCTGACTTTGTGGTTACCATCCACTAATAGCCACTTTCTATAACTACTTTATGGTTACCATGCACTAATAGCACTAATAGCCACTTTCTGTAACTGATTTTATTTTGAGTCAATTCCAACAAAATCGACTGTTCTCTTTCTTTTCTGACTTTTCACAAAATCTAGAGGATCAGACCTGATTAGACCCAATTGGACTGCTCTGTTAAATGTTTTGTAATGGTTCAGACCATCACAATTGATGCTGTGATTGACTGGTGAGGTGAAACCCTCTAATGGTCAATATGAGGTGTAGTATGATTGATGATGAAGGGTACAATCTGTGAGGAGTATTTATGTGGCGCTGTGAATGAGAAGTGAAGTGGTGGACACATGTTATCGGACCTGAAGTTATTGACTGAAGGCTAGATGTTTGCTCATTTCTCTCTTAATGAAGTTGATGATATGGACCTCATTTTCTTAGTGACTAGAAGACTGTTGATGTTTACATATTCTTGATGAATTAAGCAGTCAAAAGGGGCAGATAGGTGAGTATATCTTCTTTTTATGTTGATACAAGGTTTTCATACCCATTGTGAGTGAAGGACAGTGATGTGAGAAGTGTACCAGAATTTATTCATTCTTGTGACTGATCTTGCTTTAAGAAGTGCATAGGATGGAATCCAAGGGTACTGTAGTTATGCCATCTGATATGTTAGCTATTCAGATTATATCTATTAAGCTTGGTGAAAGGGAGAATTATGCTATTTGGGCTCAACCAATTGAAGTCTTTCCAACAACTAAAGGAAAACTGAAGTACCTCACTGATAACAAGCCAGAATCTGGTACATCTACATATGTGGAGTGGATTCAAGAAGATGCACAGATTAAGTCCTGGCTTTGGAATTCAATGGATCAAAATATTAGTAGCGGGCTGATATTCTTAGAGACATCTAAGCTGATTTGGGAATAGGTCTGTAAGATGTATTCAGGGAGCAATAATTTACAAAGATTTATTAGTTGTTTCAAACTTTATTTAATTTCCAACAGGGTGATGAGTCATTGGAAGTCTGTTTCTCTCTGAAATGATGCAGCTATGTGAGGAACTTAATATGTATCAGCTGACTACCTCAGATGTTTCTGCATAAGGGAATAACTTTTGTGTGGCTAAATTCCTATTAAGGATTAAGCCCGGGTATGAGCCTATTAGATTTTAGAGTTTAACCAATCAAAGCCACCCCTGTGAATTTTGATGATTTTCATTGGTTAGTGTATGCCTAATTAGTACACAAAGGCTTGAGTGTTGGAGATTTGGATTGGAACCACTTATCCAATCCAAACCATCCATCTCCTGCAATCCATATCAAGCCCATAGTATCCTTATATAGGAGCTACTGGTCAAATTATACCACTACTCAAGCTTTGTAATATTTTAATTAAAAAAAATTCTGAAAAGAATGCCCAGAATCCAACTAACACACCCACTATAACCACATATGATCCAAGCTTGTTATGTTAATTAGTACCAAAGTTCATTGACAGATATGGTGGGAACCAAGTTCTATGACTATGGGGTTGATAATGACTCAAACAAAGTTTGAATGGGTGTGTTAGTTGGATTCAAAGTTTTATGGATTTCAGGAAATAATAGCAGTGAACGAACACATTCAAAGTTTTATGACTCAAAAAAAGTTTTAAAGAGAATTATACATGGATATATATAGTGGGTGTGTTAGTTGAATTCCATGCTTTACTTGGTTCCCACCATATCTGTCAATGATACGATCCAAGCTTGTATATATATTGATAAGTCACCTTAAGAACTTATATTTCAAGGGAGATTATGCAAAAAGAAGTTTCAGGCTTCCAGCCATTTCAAATTCTGAACACTCTAATTAGATTCTTCGGCTGTTTTGACTCTTGAGCTTTAACAAACAGCAGAGTCAACCATTTCTTAATCATGTGATCTTGAGCTCATTGGCTAGGTAATTAAAAATTCTAGTTCAACTAAATCAAGAGGGTTAAACACTTCTTAATGTGGAGTTACTAAATTGATCTTAACTTAAATTCTTGTTTGATGTCTGATGGGTTATAATTCTTGTGCAGTATTGCTGGTTATGAGGCATCAGGGACTGGGAGCATGAAGTTTTTGATGAATGGGTGTTTACTTATGGCTATAGCAGATGGTTTTATAGTTGAAATTATTGAGGAAATGGGGGAAGATAACATGGTAAGCTCCATTGATCATTCTCTAATTGGATCTTTTGATTTTCCATCCTTTAACAGTCTATGGTATCCAAAAGTTTTTGAGAAGAGCTGTGGATGCAGATTTCCAAGTGATGGTTCGAATAAAGGATCCTGGATGCACCAGGAAATCCTCCCCTGACTGTCTTGATGTTCTTTATAAGTTTAAGAAGCATTGGTCACTTGAAAAACTAGCAATGCAAATCAGATTACCAGAACTTGATTAGAAGTGCAAATCAGATTAACAGAACTGATTGTATTGAATCCTTGTTTCAGGTTTCAGTTTCATAATTAATGACATGTTTTTTTAGTAGGAAATTTTCAATATGCCACCATGCATTTGATTTAATAATTTTATGCTTTAGGTTTAAGTAGATGGCAACAGCTATTATTATTTAAAATATAAAAATAAAATATAATCCGGTGGTCATAGAAACCACCGCCTTTGGCAAATCAATATACCTAAGCTGGCGTTTTGTAATGCATCTATGCCGGCAGTCGCAACTGCCACCTTTGATGAAATAAGACATTTATGGCAACGGATTAGATATATAACAATTCAGTCTAAGGTGGTGGTTCAAATCGTCGGATTCGATTACATAGTTTAGCTAAGGCGCTGGTTTATTAAAATGACAAATAGATCTAAACCGATGGTCCTGATCGCCGCTTTTGGTTGAAAAATAGAATTATATGACATCAATATCGGTGGTCTTAACTGCTGCCCTTAATGGTGCTAAGGCGACGGTCAAGAAAAAAAAAAAACATCATCTACCATAATCTGTACCAGCAGTCAGGACCACCACCATTACCAAATACTCAAATTTGTGTCGGTGGTTAGAAAGTAACTGTTGTTTAACTTAACAACAGTATTCTGGCTCGGCGATTTTGACCGCTGTCATACATTATCTGGGCCGGCGGTTTTTTATAAATCACCTTTTTCTGTCATTTGCCTAAGCTGGCGGTTCACTGAAAAACCATTGGCTTGGGAATGGTTGGACCGGGTCCCTAAGGCAGCGGGTTGTCTTCTAGGATGACGCTCATAACCTAGGGCAATACAAACATAGATAACGGCCACTGAACTGTCAAGTGTCAACTCATGTCTATGCCGGCAGCTTAAAAGGATAAGCCGGCGGTCACCAAACCGCTGGCCTAAGTAATTTTGCTTGTACTAAACGTTATTCGCAGCAAGAAAAGAAAAAGAAGGGCGTGATGATTCATGTCTGGAGTAGTTCAACGGAGATTTGGCTCTTAATTCTTTCTCCACTTCTTCCTCTCGTACCAGAAACCAAAAACCCGTGGTGGTTGTTCAGAGTTCACATCAGCGCCCCGCAGCGCTTCACACCACATCCCAACCGTTGGGATCATCTCCCAATGACAAATACGGAAGATGTTGTCAATGTACACTGAGATGTGCATGTGAGGCGCTGATCTGATCTCGGTTGTTCAATGCCATTGTTTGGCGCAGTTGCCAGATATGTTACGCATGTTACACAATCAGCATCCATTGTTTCCTTCTCGAACTCAGTCGATAGTGGAGGAGGAGAAAGCCTGGTGATATGTTGATATGTTGTTTTCGACAACATTTGGGCTTGGCCTTAAGATGGGCCCTTCAATTTTAACAAACTATCAACCCAAGCCCACTTGTTTAGGTTCCTTTTTTTGACTTGCAAGTGCATCTTAAAACATACATTTGGAATATTACATGTGTATTCCTATGAATTTAAGATGGGCCCCTTCAACTATTTTCAGCAGATTTTTTTTTTTTTCGGTATTTTCTTTCAGCAGGATCGGGCTCTTTCACGCATGTATCACTAGAGAACGACCCGTATTAAGTACGGAGCAACCACATCTGTGTATTATTTAGTTTGAAATTTACTATTTAGCTATAAAAATTTAAATTAGAAAAATTAATACGAGTCTAATTGGCAATTTATTCTGACCTACTTTGTTTGAAACCCATTTGTTTTTAATTTGATTTAAGAGATTAAATATTTGTAAACAATAACCCACTTTATTTGATATTTACTATTTATCTGATAAATCTATTTTGAGTTATTTATTTTTAAAGGAAATTAGGTTACACTTGTAAAAATAGTAAAATCAAGTCTGTAATTAATAAAATATTTCATCTAAAAGAATTAAACTCAAACCATTAAAAGTCTTTATAATTAATAAATCTTTTATTTGAATAAGAATGGGACCCACTATTTATCTAGTACATTTGATTTGAGTTCCTTATTTAATTTTAAAGAATTAAACTGAAAATGTTACAAATCTAATTGGCTTTAGTTAATGTTAATTAAGTAAAATTAATTAAATAAGTTTAATCAAGTGTTGAGTTTAACTAATTATAAGCTAAGTTTTTTTTTATCTAATTTAATCATTTCAGTATTTTAGTAACTATTTAATCATTTTATATTATTGAATTAACTTTTGCCCTTTAAATCTATTTTATTTGCTATTTATCATTAACATTTATTATTAAATCAATTTCTATTTAATTAACTTTTACTGTATAAAAGTTTTATATTTTTTATTATTTAAATATTTTTCTATTTATTTAATCATCTAAGTATTTAATTAATCATTTTGAAATTTCTAAACTCATTCATTTAACTAATTTTTAATCATAATAATTTTCTATTATTGAATGAAATAACAGTTATTAGATTAATTAATTAATAATCTAATAATTATTTTTCTTAGTTTCTTTCTCCTCTATGTAGTATGGAACCAAGAAAGCTAGTGGAGTCATATCTAACCTATATTAAATGGTAATAGCATCAATGTAATATAACTAGGTCAGTTCAAATAGTATTAAAGTTGGGTTGGGTGTGTTAGTAGAGTTTTATTTATTTAGTTGTGGGGACCCATGCGATGGGTTTTGTTAAACGAAAGTGATACAATAGAAATAATAGAAACGCATAAGAGTGAATACTTTTTTTACATTTTAATTTTTTAATAATTAATAATTATTTATATTTTATATTCACTTTTAATAATTTTTTACAATACAATAATAATAATAATAATTAATTTTATCTAAATTAATAGTCTAATCTCTAATAAATAATAATAGTTTAATATCCAATAATTATTAAAAAATTATAGCAAAAATACATAATTATTGAAAATAAATTTATAACAAAAATACAATAAGGGTACATTTGGTTTGCAGGCAAGGCCAGAAATTGGAACCAGAATCACCTATTCTTGGTGCCTATTTGGTTCAGTTTGGAATTGGAATTGAATTATGATTGTTGCTATTTGTTTGAAGTAAAAATCAGAATCCAAAAATTAGCTAAAATTTACAAATTTTCCTTGTAAAAAGAACTTCAAAAGAAATTTTTCATTGTTACAAATCATAAAAAAATATAAAAAAAAAACATCTTTAGAGGAGGAAGATGGTAGTAAGAAGAAGGGTGATTGATTTGAAAGAAGAAGAAGAAGATGATGATGATGATGATGATGGTTGGCGGTGGTCTTACCTTGCCGGAGATGGGATCAGCAATGATGACAACAACTAGTTGGATGAAGGAAGATATGGAGGCCGAAGGAGTTGCTTAGAGCCTTCAGACTTGTTGGTTGATTAGGGAAGTGAATTCAAAGGGGGTGTTTTTGTCATAAAAAGTAAAAATACATTAGATCAGAATGGGAATCGCATTCCCTAGGGCGGGGGGTTAGGGAATGCCCATTCCCCAATATAGGGGAATCCTATTCTGCCTAGAACGGGAATGGGAATCCCCTTACGCTCAACCAAATGATAGGAATCGAAATGGGCTATTCCAAATCCAATTCCAGGCTTCTATTCCCTTGAACCAAACAGACCCTAAATCTTGAAAACATATTAAAATAATCAACAAAATAGTGTAATCTCCATTAATAGTTTAATCTCTAATAAATATAAATCAATAAATTACAACAAAAATACATAATTATTAAAAATAAATTTATAAAAAAATATAATCAATCCAATAAGTACAATAAATTAAATTTCAAAAAGTTAAATAACAATAGTTTAATCTCTAATAATTATTGAAAATTTACTATTAAATAACAAAATGAAAATAGATATATACATAATTATTGAAAATATATTTATCACAAAAATACAATAAATAATTATTGATAATACAATAAAATATTCATTTTATTAGTACATATAAATATATAATATATAGATAAAGATTTTAAGATTTTATTATTTTCTAGAATTATTAATTGGTATAATTTAAAAAATGTTTTTATTATTAGTAAAATGATAATTGTAATTATTATTATATTTTTTAATATATAGTAAAAAACTTTTTTGAAAGTTATTTCATATTTTTTTGTTAGTTGGAAGTTTCAACACTTCTAAATTATTTAATATGTTTTTCATTATTTTAGTAGTATTTAAAAATTTTAAATTATTTATATTTTATATTTGTTTTCTAAGAAGAACAAGAAGAAATAAGAGAAAATGAGAACTAGAGAAGAAGAAAAGATGTTAGAAAGGCAAAAGAGTAATGCCGGTGGAAACAACCCTTCTATTATATACTAGGGCAATCAAAAAAAAATTACAACAGTGTCCTAGTATCAACTACTAGGAAATCTCTTCATCAAGTAGTCGACTAGTAGGAATAATATGCTGGTAGTAGTCGGCTACTAAGAACAGTATGTTGATAGTTGTCAACTACTAAGAATAGTATACTGATAATAGTTGACTACTAAGGATAAGACTACAAGCTAGGTCTCACAACACTCCCACTCAAGTTGAGCATAGACATATCTTTCATGCCCAACTTAAATAACAGTTCCATAAATCTTGTCTTGGTGAGCCCCTTGGTAAAAATATCAACAAGTTGTCTTATAGATGGCATATAAAGGATGTAGAGGTCCCTAGAAACAATTCTTGTTCACACAAAGTGTCTATCAATTATCACAATGCATTTTTAGAGGTCCAATTACTTTTATCCCCAACTCCTTTAGAAAAATCTAAAGCTGAAGTAGTTCAGCAACACCATGGGCCATAGCCCTATATTCAGCCTCGGTGCTTGATCTTACAACAACAATTTGCTTCTTGCTCCTCTAAGTGATTAGATTGCCACCTATGAAGGAACAATATCTAGATATCGACCTTCTATATCCATGAGAACCTGCCTAATTGACATCAATGTAGGTTTCCACCTCTATTTTGTCACATTTCTTAAACAGTAATCCCTTTCCAAGGCACGTCTTCAAGTATTTCAAGATCCTTTCTACTACCCTCATATGTGTAACTCGTAGAGCATGCATAAATTGGCTAA